TATTCCCATTGCCTACAGATATTGATCAAAGTTTAAAAAAAAAATAAAGAGAAAATTTAAAAAAAAAGTTAATTTATTTTATGAAAGAGGATAAACATAATAATGTAATACTTAGTATATATTTTCTGCCAATTATAAACACAGCTTACTAACCATACTGTAACACTGATACATCACACACAATCAAGCTAGAAAACAATCCTTCAAAAATGTAAAGATTCAACCATCTAAATTAATAAACTTTTTAATTCTGAAAAATATTACAGCAGCTGTAGAAAAAAATCATCATGAAAACCACTATTTGGCAAATTCTCCCTGGAGCATTTCAATATCCCTTGAACAATTCTTAGCGGTGTTTCGTATGACTTTGTATTAGTAATTTGCATATCGAAAATCTCACTATAATTAATGTGAGGTTCAAACTTCAAAATCGTGCACTTGTGATCAAATAATAATTTATTGTGTTTAAATGTAGATTCAAAAATTCACCATTTTAATATTTCATGCAATTTCTTTGCCCACGATCTGATTGAAAACACCCACACAGAGATAAATCACACACAGAGAACTGGCCACCATCTGTAGCGCGATTCAGAAATATTGACGAATCGGGTTTGTCCACAGTTGTACTTTGAATATGAATGACAACATTCAACTACATTTTTATTGCATATTGTTATAAACTAATAACAATATATGTATATAATAAATAAAAAACAACCCATAAATGAAAAATATTGGTAAATAATTCAATGAGTATGATAGAATTATGACAGATTGTAACATTTAGAGCTAGGGTTCATTCCTTTATGTATTCCTCATTATTAATTTGCAATAAGTATATAGATCTATATATAGTTCTTTTTTCTTGAATGAAGTAAACTCGTACTGAATAATTATATACACATGCACCAAATATATGACAGGAAAGATAATTATTAAACATCATTTCATTTTCTAATTCTATGTGTAATTGCTGTAATGGCAATCCCCATACAGAAGAATTTGCATACAATGAAAAATGTAGGGATGGTCACTCACCTTTATGAACCCTTCATTCATTTGACCCATTGTATGGTTCATATCAAGTACACAGGAAGTACTATTGGGTTAAGGGTTAACCATTTGAAATCACGTGGGGGGGGGGGGGTGAAGAGTATAACCAGTGCAATTTTTGTTTTCATTATATCTTATCTGTACATTTTACTTTTTCTTGAGTTTGCCATTTTCTTTTATGCAGTACCTTACATGCATTTTTTTCTCTCATTGGCTAGTTTACACATTTCTTTTTTCAACGAATCTTCCAGCCACTCTTATTGGTGTACAGTGAGTAACCAAAGGCAAGATAACAGCACTAAATATGACTATTTAGCAGGGGAGTGGGTATTCTTCAGAAAGCAGGCAACGATATATATATTCACTTGTATAAAGCATATCCCATTTTGAGATATGGAGAAAAGAATGGCCACCCACTGTCTAAAGGTTGAGTGAAAAATCCCATTGTTAGCGGGCATGTTGTTTACAGTGTCCAGTTCACAGCTGATCACATTCGTATTCAACACGAGTGATAACTCAGTAAGAATAAAATTACTCGCGTATTAACAGACTTGGGGGTCGCATCGGGATAAGTAGCACATATGTAGTGCATTTAGAAGAAAATACAAACTAATATAGATAATACTTACACTTTAAGGGCGTCTAGGAGCCAAATAATTGCTGAAACGACACGTCGACGTCGACTCTGTTTAGATGTTATACGAGTTTACAGACGGCCTGAGTAGCTTCACTGCAGACAAGATTCTCGCAAAAAGTCTGTATGAGGACATTCAAAATAACCTTACACAGCGAAAATATAGTGTTTTCTATCAGTCCTATGTCGATGTGCCTGTAGCGTGATCTTCAAATCGCGAAGTTTGCTTTGCTGAGAGTTATCGGACAACTAGTATGATAATGATAACACATCGCAGCTGTTGCGTGTTTCGTACGCTGTCACAGACCAGGGACCCTAATCGAAAACTACGTAGGCCAGTCAAAAATAGCCTCAACTAAACATTGGATAACGTTTTCACCAAAAACATTATTCATCATCAGTGAATGGCAAAAACAAACACACTTTCCGCATAAATACAAATTTGTTTATGTGCACTATCTCACAAAAAGATTACAAATCCCCTGCTATTTTCTGTTTACATGTAGCGTCATCATAGTATTTTTCCCACAAGCTTAGAGAGGCCTAATGGGTCAAAAGTCGGCGAACATGGCGACGTCCATTGTCAATGAAAATGTTCGGTGGGTGAGCTTAATGTGTTGTTCAATTGCTGCTATTGTAGTTCTTATTTTACTGCGTCTTTATTTTACGTTGAAAAATGTCGGCAAATGCAGTCTGCCTTCTGAAGCGAAAGAACCCCTGAAAACGATGGTTATCATGGGTTCAGGTAAGGACCAGAGCTTCTTGAATCAACCCCAGGGAATCAAGCTGAGGGGTTGGCCATTAGAAACTTGTAGGGGGGATCCTGAAAGTATCAATACACAAAAAATTGAACAGCAAATTCATCCAGAAAACAACAGATTATTTTCCACATTTTTACTTATACCACCCAGAGTTTCTAATGGTCCACCCCAGGGGGCATAGACTGGGAAATGGTCAAAGATTATTTTGTTTGTTTATTTAACATCTGTCATTTATATCAATTGGTTAAAAATAATAAAGTGAAGAAACATGAAAAAATGAATGATAAAAATACAGTGGGTTCAGAAAAGCTGTTTTCAATATTTACAGTCTTAAGATTGCAGCAGGAAATCAAACATTGACTAGAATCTGACTGGTTTTGCAGCACATAGTGGAACGCCACACCAGTTACTATTCGACTAATACAATTGGATTTGGATGAAACATTGATAATTATTTTATAAATCTATTTATATGTAGTTTATATGGTAACAGCTTTTCTAAAAGCACTGTACAACTATGAAAAATAAATGTACATTCAACTACACTTCACTTCATGAAGGCATGAAATGAAATATTATATGTTATTATAAATTTTAAATGTATTTTTAAAACAGCTTGACCAATCACAGTGCCTTAATTGATACATACTGCTTGTGTAGACTATCATCACTATTCAGTACATATTCACATAGAGGGCAGTCAATGTGACCAATGATTTAGGGAAACTTGCAAAGACTTATGGGTAATAGGTGTTTATAACCAATGAAAGCGTCTTCTTTGGATTTGAATGTAACACAAGTGTCTTCCTGCTTAAATGTCTTATAAATATTTCATAAATATCCATAAAAGCCAACTATGCTGTAATGAAATGCAGAGAAAATGATAATAAGTAAAGAAAAGAAAATTATCTAAAATGTTTTAGGTATTCATTAGTCTAAAATCAGTGTATGAAATTGACCATAAATATTGCCAGACATTAGGAATGGTAACTACCGTAGTATCAAGTTTTTGTTTTTTGTGTTTTTTTTGTTCAAGTTCCTAGATTCAATACAAAATAATATACAGAACACATTGTCAGTGTTAAACTGTACAATTTGCTCATTTTATTAATAATTTTCATGATGAGAAAAGACTATAGGCAGCTTGGTATATTTTACAGTAAACCTCCTGCTTACCCATGTAGTCATTTGTAATTAGCCATGCAAATTCTGATTTCCTGCGATGCTACATTTGCTTTCATTGCTGTCTTTGCTTTTTTTTGGTGAAGGCTAAATCCCATCAAAAACAGTGTAACAACATCACTGCTACGAGGCACAGCTAAAGGAATACAGTTAAAAAAAATTTTCTAAGTTGTCACCTGGTCATGTAAACAAGAAGTCTTGACAGTCACGTATGTGTGTTGAGATTGAATGAGAACATTCCCATGGGAAGGCTCAATACACAGACTTGGAAGTTAGGATTTTACCTTGTCAGACTAAAAAGTAACCCATTACAGACGGATGGGCATATTTTCAAACACTGCTAAAGTCTATTTTTTGCAAAGTCTCTGAGATCTGTACAATAGAAATGTAGCATCAACAACTGGTTTATCTTATTCAGTCACGTAAATGTATTCAAACATCAGTTACACTGGGACGAATTGATTTTTAATTGACTGGAACCAATGGAAGTAAAATACTGTAAAATGACTAATTTTCACTGGGTTTAAATTTCACTGATTTACCATTTCAGGCATATTCAGTGGGTTTTATATTCACGGTTTCGTCATTTAGATAATGTGTTCTGTGCTAAATTTTCCAGTCAGCGAAATAAGCTAAATTAAAACCCAGTGAATAATTACCACCTTTACAGTACTCTTCGTTTATTGGCTAGTTGGAATGGAACTGTCCAGGGTCAGCCACAGCCACTAATAGGGATACGATTCATGTGTGATTACAGGTGGTCATACGACAGAAATGTTACGATTACTGAGTGGCATGTCTAACATGTACTCACCGAGAGTTTACATCATTGCGGATACAGACAAGATGAGTCAAGAAAAAGTTTTTAGATTTGAACAAGAAAAGAATTCTAAAGAAGGCAAAGAGGTATGTATCGCAAGAAACGCGGAACCAAATAAAATTTAAATTTAATTTGACTTAATTGAATTGCAGTTCTCTATGGAAAGTAATTTTCACTGCTTTTGTTAAAATGAATTGATAAAATGTTGCAAAACAGAATTTTGAGATGGGGGATAAGTTGTGTCGGCACTATACTTGGCAACGGTGACACACGATAAAATGTCACGGTGCATTTGTGCACTAGTACACCGAAAAAGTACTGTAAAACATGTCTTTTTAGCTAGCACGTTATTTTAGCTAATTTAGCTAATCCGCAATTCTGCTAAATTAAGATGTCACTAATTAGATTAGCGTATATTCTCACAGTAAGATTATTGGTACTTTAGCTAAATTAAGATTCAGTTAATTTATGCATTGCGTCAAATTCGCTAAAATGATATGCAGCTATTTCAAAGTGTTTTACAGTAGGTACATGTTGCTGGCTATGACTTTTGAAGACTGTGTTCATGTAGATTTTGAGTTTGTAGACAGTTGAAGTCATATGTGAATTTATCCAAGACAAGAAAAAGCTAAAAACTTCTAGAAATTGTTTTCAATTTGACCTGTACCAATTACATTCAAACTTCACACAATACATCGTACCTAATATTATACATATGCACATGTCTGACATGCTGACTAATTATGTTCCAATTTTATATATTCATTATACATTGTGTCATAGATATACAAAAACATATTGTATCGGTTTGACGACCCGTTTCAAAATGGTCGAATGGTGGCAATTTTGTTTTAATGAATGTGGTTCTAGAGCCATGTCTCTGACATGCTTTGACTGATTATGTTCAAATTTCATATATTCATTATACATTATGTCATAGGTATATCGATTTATTGGTTTGACGATCTGATTTAAAATGGTCGACCAGTGGTCATTTTGTTTTAATTAATGCTGTTCCACAGCAATATTTCTCAATTTGGACAAGTACTTG